TGGCAGAATTTGAAAGAATAATATTACAAGAAAATACCAAGATGGGTTTCTTCACTTGAAGCATTTATTAAACCAACTCTTCTGACTAAAGACAAGATAGAAACACATGAATATTTATTAGATAAGAAAGATAAGATTAAAAACTTGGATGCAGCAAGCTTACACTTAACATGGTGGGAATATACACAACTAAAATCTATATATAGTAAAGATAAAACTACGGGCTTTTATACGGGAAATAATGAATTAGACAAGATATGGTTGTCAACCAGTGATAAATTGATACAAAGAGTATAGACTTTCCTATTAGAAAGATATATGCAAGATGAGACGGGTTAAACCTTCAATGATAGCGTAGATGAAAGATATGGGTTATACTATAGATATTGATGACTGGGCCAAAATATGGAAGTCAATGAGATACCTTAGTTCAATAGCCTATAAAGAATATATATATAAGATGTTCCATAGATGGTACTGGTCACCAGATAGAATTGGGAAGTGTGCACCTAAAACTTCGAAGAATGGCTGGAAATGTAAGAACAATATAGGAACGTTTATTCATATGTGGTGGAAATGTTGTAAGATGCAAAAATTTTGGAAAACTATTAAGCAGATAATATTAGAAATAATGAAGTGAATTTAAATTTGGTACCAGAAATATATACTAAATATTATTCCAGATAATTTTGATCAAGAAGATAGATATTTATTAACATACATCTTAACTTCGTCAAGAATTATGGTAGACCAATGTTGGAAAACAGATAAATTACCCTCTAGAATAGATATAGCAAAGAAACTGCTGGAAACAGCCAAATTGGACAAACTGACTTTGTTATTACGTGGTAAAGATGAGACGATGTTCCAAAGAAGATGGTTAAGAGTATATAAATGGTGGGGAAACTATATTATATGTGAGACTCCAAAAACATAACGATGGCCCCGGTCACACGGGCTGGAAAATGCGGGGGGGAAGCATGGCTGTTTTCCCCGGGGCAAACTAACGCGCGACTGTGAGATCAGACATCCGGTTGAGGTCCCGTCGAGGTCCCGTGACTAGGGGGGAGGTGCCGATCACACCACAGGCAAAGAAGTGGGGCGCGGTGGCAAACAGGGTTGTTGTTGTTGTTGTTTTACTTTTTTAAACTGAAGTGTGCGCATGCTCCGTTGGGTGCTTGTGCGCATCTGTGGAGCCTTGGGGGGGGGGGAAATGACCTGTTTGCAAGGGGACATGGGCGGGCGCCGGATGCCACCAGAAACGCGATCAGACGTTCGCACTTGCCCCGGGGTTTTCGGAAACTAGTACCTCCGAGGTACTAGTTTTTTGCCACACATCTTCGGAGGGAAGCCTCGGTTGAGCCACGGGAGCTCTACGCTTCCCAGATGTGGCAGTGAGATCGCGCCCGGAAAATCCGCCTATCTTCCATCTCTCTAGCATGGCTACTGTTCCGTGTGACTGCAGCCTTTGTATATATAAAAGTGCTTTTGGCTGTATACTAAAACTAAATAAATACAGATTTAAAAGAAGAAGAAAAAGAACACGGCTGTCTGGGGGCAGGGGAGCGAGTGCCGCTTACTGAAGCCTCAAGGAAGCCTGCATGAAGAAAAGAGATCAAGATTGGGTAGCTGCACTTGTCTGACTGTAGCAGCTGAAAACAGCAAGAGCCCAGTAGCATCTGAAAGACCAACAAAATTTGTGGGTAGGATAGGAGATTTCGTGAGTCACTGAGGAGCTACTTGACTTCACCAAGACTTAAATCCACCAACACTTCCTTTAACCATCTCTGCATGCAGTGCAGTTGGAAGTTGGCAAACTTAACCATACAGAGGACTGTTTTTTCTTTACTTTTTAATTTTAAAAAAAGACACCATTTTAATCATTTCTACACAGGACTGGTCAATTCCAGTGGGGACAGCTGGAAACAACAGAGACGGTTTGCTTTATCAACTCTCAGAAACTTCGGCCTGGGGAAGAGAAGTTTAGAAGAACGAATACAAGCGGAGACCAGATACCTTATGGAGGCCATCGAAGAGGAAAAAGGTAAGCTCCAGAGCCGACCACCAGCTGTTTATGGGGCTACTCAATGAACAAAGGAAGGCAAGCAGGTTTCCCAGGGGACTTCCTGTTGTGGGACGTACAAATTCCCCTGACGGGGAGGGAAAGGTCTTAGGGGTGCAGGAAGGGAGGTCCAGGTGCACAATGAGGCCCTCAGGGAGGAAACAAAGGTTCTCAGTCATCAGAACCAAAGCCGTGAGGTGAGCGGGTTTTTTGGAGAGCTCCTCTCAACACTCTCTCTATGTGTCCTGAACCCTCCAGCTGTTCAGTAATCCCTGCATAAATCAGATGACAAGGAAAATATAACGATGCTGAAAATACTGATATGCTGGATGGGGCTGGTGAGCAGGAAGGTCATTCAGACCTTGCCGAGGGCTCCTTGCCCTGAGCATGGGAGGACTTGGCCGAAGAGCCCTCTCCCGTCCTCCTCCTCCTTCTCCTCAGCTGCTGCCTCTTTAGCCTGATACACCCAGCCCCCTCCTCCTCAGGGAGCCCTCTGCTATGGACACAGGCCTGGAACTACCCTGCCCCAGAACCCCACTCCCAGATTCATCACAGGAAACGGCTGTCTCTGGGAGGGAAAGCCCCACCTCCCCCTTGAAGGGTGTCTCCCACACCTTCTCGTTCCACAACGGAGGTGCCACCACCATCCCCCTCTCCCATCAGGGAAAGTCACCAAGGCCCACCCCTGCCCATGGCTGGACTGTTGAGGACGTTGGACACTGTGGGGCTCTGTAGGCTCAGCATGGGTGGTCCTTGGTGACTTTCCCTGATGGGAGAGGGGGATGGTGGTGGCATCTCCGTTGTGGAATGAGAAGGTGCGGGAGACCCCTTCAAGGCGGAGGTGTGCCTTTAATTTTTGGTGGACTCCTGTCGCCCATCAAGGGGGGATTTGGGGGACGTCAGCAGGTCGGGGGTGAATCTGGGACTGCTATGGTGCGGTCTAGGCACGTGTACAACAACCATATCACAGAGTCCTGTGGCACTCTGTTTGAAACAACGAAATTTTAAACGGTTACTAATTTTTTAAATTCTTGTGACAGGTTACTTCTCACTGTTTCCTCCACATTCTTTTTTTCTTGTAAGGAAGCTATAACTGCCTCTTCCCCCCCCCCCCTCACAAGGTCAGCCATTCAACCCTCATTTCCAGATTAATAACGCTGTTTCGAATATCATCTGCTCTATCACTTTTGGGGATCGCTTCGATTACCATGACAGCCGATTCCAGAAGTTGTTGCATTTGATTGATGAGACCATCTACCTTCAAGGAAGCATTTGGGGTCAGGTGAGTCTTCTTGGAGATCTTGCGGAATGGCAGGGCAAAACCCGTCTGGCTCCAGAAAGACGGCCAGATGGACATGACCCCACATCACCACCTCACTTTGTTCCTCGCCGCTCCAGTTCTCTTGTGTTTTCCATAACTTCCCACTCAGGCACCCTAATCATATCCCATGATGTTTTTCTTTTCATTTAGTGTTCTTTGGATCATGTGGAAAAACAATCTGACTTTATTTCATTTTCCTGACAGACAGTAGGGGAACTCTCCATGAACTTCACTGCAGCTGAATGCCATATATATATGCGCCATTCAGCTGCAGTGAAGTTCATGGATATATATATATAAAATAGGAATAAGGCCCGTTGTGGAAATAAATACGAGATCTAGAAAGAGTCTCTGGGAGAGTGCCAAGGCCTTGGACACTCAGCGCAATGTGCTGTGGTGACCTCAGCAGGGTATAATGACAGAGAGTTCACCATTTTCTCCATAGGAACTGATTTCTGCTACCTGAAGAGCAGCTGTAATTTTGGGTGATCTCCAGCCCTCACCTGGAGATTGGCAACAGGAGGAAATGGCTGGTTGGGAGGGTGGAGTCTATGGCATTGTACCTATCTGAGGTCCCACCCCTCCTCAAACCTCACCCTCTCCAGGTTCCATCCCTTAAATCTCCATAAATTTCTCACCTGGAGTTGGCAACCCTATCTCCTTCCCAGCCCATCATCAACCTACCTTTATTTCCAACACACACACACACACACCTGCAGCCTCTTCCATGCTCTGAAGCAATGACTGCCACAGAGTCCACCATTTTCCATGCTCTGAAGCCCTGACTGCCACAGAGTCCACCATTTTCTCCAGGGGAACTGATCTCTGCCATTTGGAGAGCAGTTGTAATTCTGAGTGATCTCCAGCTGTCACCTGGAGATTGGCAACAATGGTTTCCCAGGAGGAAAAGTAGTCTTTCTCTGCAATGGGACCAAAGCAGCTTACATCATTCTTCTCTCCCCCTTTTGACTTGCACAACAACTCAGTGAGGTAGGTTAGGCAGAAAAGTCTGTGACTGGTCCAAAATCACCCACTCAGCTTGTACAGCAAGAACCTGGATCTAGCAGACCCTGCTCTGAAGCACAACCATCTTACTAACACAGGTAACTGCCATTTCGTTACACCTACCAACAGCTGCTGAGGGGAAAGCTAGTCCCACACAGGAGGCAAGCAGGAAAAGTGTCTTCGTCAAGAGAGAAAGCCATTTGCCAGTAATTCTGACAGGGCACAGTGTCTGAAGGGGGAGTGGGCAGGGAATAGGAGCAGACCCAGCACCCGGCCAATGGCTCATGAGTACTCTTGAGTGGCGGCTGGCGGGGCAAATGCGCAGGGAGTGCATGGAATGTTGCCACTCGAAAACAGAATTATTATAAAGAGAGATAAATCTTCCCCCATACCCCCCTGGAGGCCATACATCATTCTCCTCTCCCCCTTTTGACTTGCACAACAACCCTATGAGGTAGGTTAGGCTGAAAGTCTGTGACTGGTCCAAAATCACCCACTCAGCTTGTACAGAAAGAACCTGGATCTAGCAGACCCTGCTCTGAAGCACAACCATCTTACTAACACAGGTAACTGCCATTTCGTTACACCTACCAACAGCTGCTGAGGGGAAAGCTAGTCCCACACAGGAGGCAAGCAGGAAAAGTGTCTTCGTCAAGAGAGAAAGCCATTTGCCAGTAATTCTGACAGGGCACAGTGTCTGAAGGGGGAGTGGGCAGGGAATAGGAGCAGACCCAGCACCCGGCCAATGGCTCATGAGTACTCTTGGCTGACGGGCCAATGGCTGAGGGAGTGCATGGAATGTTGCCACTCGAAAACAGAATTATTATAAAGAGAGATAAATCTTCCCCCATACCCCCCTGGAGGCCAACGCCCTCTGCTGTGGCACCTGCCTTGAAGAGGAGTGGCTGGGACCTCAGAATGCTGGAGAGGGACCCTGGCCAGCCGGCCGTAGGCACCCCTTTGAAGGCTTTTGCCTGGGTTCCCTCTCTCTCTGTCATGCACTAGTCACAACTCTCTGGCTTTCCTCCTTCTCCTCCTCAATCCCAGTGTCTATTCCCTCCTTTATACAGCACAGCCCACATTTCCCACCGCCCACTTCCCTTGTGATTGGTTCCTTGTCCTGTCTCTCGCTTCCCGCCCCGCTCCCATTGGTCTATTGACTCTCAGCATGAGAGTCACTGGTTCCATACATTACATTTGCTTGTGAGTGTGCGTTTGTGTGTGTGTGTGATTAATACTTGCTGCAGGGTTTTCAGGGGTATCAAGTGTAACGCACTTGTGTTCTGCACATTAACTAAATTCATACGGCACTGCTGAGGAGTTCGAAAAACTTTCATGGAGATGCCATTTTGAGAAGTTTCCTGGGACTGCGTGCCACAGATCCACACTGTCCTACATCACAGCATCATCTCCTACTTTTCCTGAGATAGCCACGTGTGGTAGGCAACTGTCTGGACTGAATGGTCTACAAGAAGTTCTATGCACTTTCTATGCAGACTTTAGTGTTAATTTTATTTCCCCTTCAGGTGTACAATTCCTTCCCAGCTGTAATGAAGTACTTGCCAGGACCTCATCAGAAAGTTTTTAAGAACTGGGAACAAATTAAATCATTTGTAAAAGAAATTGTCGAAAAGCACAAAGCAGTCTGGAGCCCGTCTCAAACAAGGGACTTCATTGATGCTTATTTAAATGAAATGGCCAAGGTAACAAACAAATCAAAGTACAATCAGTTCCTATCGAAAAGCAAACACAGCTGTATGTAAGAAATCTTATTTGCCAGCGGCTAGTTATCCTTCCTGCCACATGCTACTGATGCGAAAGCCAATAAAGTTCACTCCGTAGAGGCATCACATGAACTCCCCCTAAACTCTCTATTTGAGTATTCCTTCAGTAGGCTTTGGAATACCGATCAGATAATCCATTGGCTGGGTTTTTTATTGATTGCCATGTCAATCATTCTCAAGACTATTGTCTTGCTCCTGTTTGATCCTGAGCACTGTTCAGGAACAGAGAGGTACAAGTCTTGGAATCCCGATGTGATGTCAGTATGACATTTTTCTTTCTCTTAGGCCCTGGATATATTTTCTGTTCTTTTCTTTTCTTTGAAAGGAGGATACCCCTGCCAGTTTCCATGAAGAAAATATGCTCCAATCAACAATGGATCTGTTTTTCGCTGGGACAGAAACAACATCCACAACTTTGCGCTGGGCTTTGCTCTACATGGCCATTTATCCAGAAGTTCAAGGTAGAATGATCATTGTTGGGTCTCTGACTTTCACGATGCAACTGGTATGTCTTATGACTAGGAATAAGGCCCATTGTGGAAATAAATACAATGAGCTCTAGAAAGAGGCTCTGGGCAGGTGCCCCAGCCTTGGGCACTCAGCGTTAGTTTGCTGTGGCAACCTCAGCAGGGTATAATGACACAGAATCCACCGTTTTTTCCAGGGGAACTGTTTTTTGCCATCTGAAGAGCAGTTGTAATTCTGAGTGATCTCCAGCCCTCATCTGGAGATTGGCAAGAATGGTTCCCCAAGAGGAAATGGCTGGTTTGGAGGGTGGAGTCTATGGCAGTGTACCTGTCTGAGGTCCTGCCCCTTTTCAAAACCCACCCTCTCCAGTCTCCACCCTCATATGTCCAGGAATTTCCCAACCTGGAGTTGGCAACCCTATCTCCTTCCCAGGTAACCATCAACCTACCCTTATCTGCCCCTCTGACTTCACTTTTCCATCTCCTCCCCACTCCCTGCAGCCTCTGCCTAGGAAAAGTATAGTTTTTCTCTGCAGTGGGGACCCAAGCAGGGAAGCAACCTCAGCAGGGTATAATGACACAGAGTCCACCCTGCAAAATAGCCATTCTCTCCAGGGGAACTGGTCTCTGCCATCTCGAGAGTTTTTATTCTGAGTGATCTCCAGCCCTCATCTGGAAATTGGCAGCAATGGTTCCGCAGAAGAAAATAACCACTTTGGAGAGTGGACTCTATGGCATTCTATTCAGCTGAGGCCTCTCCCCTCCCCAAACTCTGGCTTCCAAAGACTCCACCACAAAATATCCAGGAATTTCACAACCTAGAGCTGGCAACCCTAGTCAGGACTGGCCCCAATGAATTCCCCACAAAGGCCAAAGTAGGCCTGGAAAGGACCCCCTGCCTTTGCCTTTTTACTGACAGAACCAAGCTTGGTTGCCTAGTTAGCCCCACAGCAGGAGGAGAAGAGAATGGTTTGACAGCTGCTGGCCTACCTCAGTAGCCAGCCTGTTGCAGAGGAGCCAAACAGGAGAAGTGTCTTCATCAGGAGAGACAGCCATTTTGGCAGTTTATTCTGACAGAAAAGATTGGTCAAGCTTACAGTGGGTGGGCGAGACGAGTGGACCCAGCCCCCAGCCAATGGCACGTAAGTACTCTTGAATGGTAGTTGCTTCCTCCTGGGTAAAGAAGCCAATAGCCAAACATAACCTCCAAGACCAAACATGCCAAGCCAAACCAAACCAAGGCCAAATATGGCAAGACTTGAGCAGAGAGACACAAAGACAGCAGAAACAGCCATGGGTCGAAAATGGCTGCCTTGCCTTGGCAAGCATCAGTTGAAACAACCCTCCGTGCTGCATGAGGCTGTATGATTCCTCCTTATTAGCCAGGGACAGATCTTCTGATCCCTCCCTGAGATCCCAGCAGATGGGAGGGTTGTCTCCCTTTCCCCTCTACACAGGCCCGTAGCCAGGATTTTGTGGCTTGTGGGTCAAATCTTTTTTCTGGTGGGACTGAAGTTTTCAGTGCTGAAGGAAAGCCCATTTAGCCAATAGATAGCTGTTATCAGGATAGATCTAAATTGCAAGCTGTCAAACACTTTAGATTATAGTTTTCAGCTGCCGCAAGTTAATCACTTCTGCTAGCCGAAACAACAATTCTGATAAAAAGCCAGTAGGTGGCAGTGATGACTTATACAGTCAAGAAAGCTAACACTTAGGCAGAAAAACTCTCTTAAAGGAGACCAGTTTCTTGATCCAGAGTTAGAAGGGATTCTAGAGGTCACCCACTCCAACCCCCTTGCTCAGTGTGGGAATTAGTCAACTATAGCACCCCACTCTGCTTAAAGAAGCACACGCCTTAAGAAAAATGTTTTAAAATGATTGAAAAAAGCATTTACAGGCAAAATTCTTGCGGGGCTGTGCCTTTAAGAAATGTATTTATTTATTTATCAGATTTACCCCACCCTCCCAGCTGAAGCTGGCTCATGGCGGCTTACATAAAAGAATAAAAAAACATCAATAACAATATAAACAATCCTAAAATCATCTAAAAATAGTTCAACTTTATAAGGTGCTTATAAACATTAAATGCTACTGATAGTAATCATATTATTGAACAATGGTGGCCATCAATCAGTGATGTATTCTAGTGATCGGCTCACTTTGTGTGGCTGGCACAGGCTGTTGTTAGTGGCTCCAGGGGGCAGGGTTCTCTACCTTTCAGCTATTGGTGGCAGCTTCTTAGCTGAAAGTCTGGTGGAAGAGCTCAGTCTTGCAGGCCTGGTAGAACTGCATAAGGTCCCGCAGGGTCCTGATGTCTTCTGGGAACTTGTTCCACCAGAACAGAGCTGCCACAGAGAAAGCCCTGGCCCTGGTTACAGCCAGCCCAGCGTCCTTAAGGCCAGAGAGGGCCAGTCGATTTTGCGACACTGATCGCAGTGCTTTCTGGGGAACATGTGGGGAAAGGTGGTCCCTCAGGTATGTAGGCCCCTGACCATAAAGGGCTTTAAATGTAAGCACCAGCACCTTGAAACGAATTCAGTATGCTACCAGCATGCTGAATATGATCCCGGATATGTGACAAGGGCAGCCCTATGTAGAGATCATTACAGTAGTCCAATCTTGCGGTGACCATCATGTGGATCACTGTTGCCAATTCGTTGCTTTTGAGGAAGGGAACCAACTGCCTGATCAGCCGAAGATGATAAAAGGCTGACGTGGCAGTGGCTGCTACCTGGGCCTCTATTTTTAAGGAGGCATCCAAGAGCACTCCCCAGCTCCTAACCTCTGACACTGGCACCAACGGAGCCCCCATTGAAGGTCGGGAGTGAGATCCCTACCCTCGGTCCACCCCAGCCCAGGTTCAGGACCTCTGTCTTCATTGGATTCCGTTTCAGTCGGCTCAGCCTAAGCCATCCAGCCACATCTTGTAATGCCCGGTCCAGATCTTCCGGTATAGAGCCAGACTGACCACCTAACAGCAGATAGAGC